CACACACAGACACACACATACAGACACACACACAGACACACACACATACAGACACACACAGACACACAGACACACTCACACAGACACACTCACACAGACACACTCGCACAGACACACACACACAGACACACACACACAGACACACACACTCACACAGACACACACACACTCACACAGACACACACACACTCACACACACACTCACACACTCACACAGACACACTCGCACAGACACACTCGCACAGACACACTCGCACAGACACACTCACACAGACACACTCACACAGACACACTCACACAGACACACTCACACAGACACAGACACACTCACACATACAGACTCACACAGACAGACACTCACACAGACACAGACACACTCACACAGACACACTCACACAGACACAGACACACTCACACAGACACACTCACACAGACACACTCACACAGACACACTCACACAGACACACTCATACAGACACACTCACACAGACACACACATACCCACCCGCGCATCGCCCACAGATTCGCCCCAAGGCACCGATCTAATCGTCTGCATTTATAGAACACACGAAGGCGTCAGTCACTAATCGCCAAGAATTTGGTTTGCATCATTTCCCCGTCAAAGATAAAACAAAATAAAATCTTCCTCCCCGGGGGTGACCTCTTCAAATACCAGCGCTGGCGGGAAATTGCCGTGCATATTTTGTGTCGTAAGCAGCAGCAGCAGCAGCCGAACTAATAAGAAGCATTTTTCGATATAAAGCTTCTTTCGTGACTGCAGGGATTCATCTTCTTGGTTCTTTCGGTAAAGTCGTCACGTAGAAGGGAAATAATAAAATAAAAAAACATAATAAAATAATCTTCTTGGTTCTTTCGGTAAAGTCACGTAGAAGGGAAATAATAAAATAATAAAATTTAAATAAAATAAAATAATAAAAATAAAACAATAAAATAATCTTCTTGGTTCTTTCGGTAAAGTCACGTAGAATGGAAATAATAAAATAATAAATTTAAAACATAATAAAATATTATTTCAAATTTCGATTTAAAGCTTTCGTGACTGCAGGGATTCATCTTCTTGGTTCTTTCGGTAAAGTCACGTAGAAGGGAAATAATAAAAAATAAAACACAAAATAATTCTCACGACGTTTCGGCCACAACGCAAGCAGCCGTCCTCAGGTGGAGAACAGGTCTGTCGGGGAGACAGAGTCTGAATGTTTTATTTTTATTATTTTATTATTTCCATTCTACGTGACTTTACCGAAAGAACCAATAAGATTATTTTATTGTTAAATTTTTATTATTTTATTTAAATTTTATTATTTTATTATTTCCCTTCTACGTGACTTTACCGAAAGAACCAAGAAGAAAATAAGAAGCAATTCGTGTGTTTAGCCGGGTAAGAGACTCTAACTGAGCTGCTGGGTCGTCAGCTCGGTTTAAAAAAATAAAAAATTAACCCGTAAAAACAAACTTTTTCACTGTAAATCCTTTATATGCGTGGCGGCTAGAGTCCTCTCGTCCTCTGGCTTGAGATGGCTGCCACCTATGGGCCAGATGATTGCCTGCCACCATTAAGCAATTGGTAATTAAATATTTTAAAAAATTCCTAAAATGTTGAAAATTTTTCAATTTTTTTTTCACGAAGATAAATTGTCACGCACAACGAGTCTGTGTGCAAAATGTCAGCTCGATTGGATCACGGGAAGTGGGTTAAAAAACGACCGAAAGATTTGCACGGTCCTAAGCGCGCGCAAGCAAGCAAGTGAACTTTATATAAAGGATTTTAAAATGTTCTAAAGCGATCTGAGCCACCAAGCTACTCGAGCGAGAGGCTTGTGATCATCACCATCATCAGACACATACAGACACACTGACACACACACACACACACAGACACACACACACATACACAGACACACACACACATACATAGACACACACACACACACATACACACACACATACACACACACATACACACATAGACAAAGATCCCCCGCAACAGACTGTAGGGGCAAGTGCTGTTAGCGAGCACCTATGAAGGCCGGAACGACACACGAGGGGGTGGGTGGGCCAGCACCACGCCCGACCGCCTTTGTCTCCCCAGTGGCGATGTTTACACACCGCACCAGGTACTCATTTAAGGCTGAGTCGACCTAGGGGAGGCCCAGGTAATCGTCACTGGTGTTAGCCGTGAGCGGGAATCGAACCCGGGTCGCCAGGTTCATAGCGCAGCGCGCTAACCGCTACACTACCGCTCCCCACACACAGACACACACACAGACTCACACACACACACACAGACATACATACACACACAGACAAACACACAGACAGACACACAGACACACAAAGACACACACACAGACACACAAAGACACACACACAGACACACACACAGACACACACACAGACACAAAGACACACACACAGACACACACACAGACACACACACAGACACACACATACAGATACACACATACAGACACACACAGTAAGACACAGACAGACACACACACATTAAGACACAGACACACACACAGACACACACACATACACACACATACACACACACAGACACACACACATACACACACATACACACACACATACACACACACATACAGACACACACACACTGACATACACAGACACACATACACACACACTGACACACACACTGACACACACAGTCACACACACAGACACACACACAGACACACACACAGACAAACACATACAGACGCACACAGTAAGACACAGACAGACACACACACATTAAGACACAGACACAGACAGACACACAGACACACACACAGACACACACATACACACAGACAGACACATACACACACATACACACACACATACAGACACACACACACTGACATACACAGACACACATACACACACATACAGACACACAGACACACACACTGACACACACACTGACACACACACTGACACACACACTGACACACACACTGACACACACACTGACACACACACAGACACACACACTGACACACACACTGACACACACACAGACATACACACAGACACACACACAGACACACAGACATACAGACACACACATAGACACACACACACAGACACACACACACACAGAGTCGCCCCGAGGCACCCATCTCGTCGTCTGTATTTATAGAACACGAAGGCGTCAGTCGCTAATCACCCAGAATTTGGTTGCATAATTTCCCCGTCAAAGATAAAAAAAACCAAAATGAAATCTTCCTCCCCGTGTGACCTCTTCAAATACCACCGCTGGAGGGAAATTGCCGTGATTATTTTGTGTTATTTTTAGCAGAAGCAGCAGCAGCCGAACTAATAAGAAACAATTCGCGTGTTTGACCGGGTGGGAGACTTCCACTAAACTAACTGCTGGGTCGTCATCTCGGTTTAAAAAGTAAAATAAAAATGTTCAAAAGCGATCTGAGCCACCAAGGATTGACAGCTGCTGAGCGAGAGGCTTGTGATCATCACCATCATCATCATCATCGTCGTCGCGTGGAAATTAGAAAGGCGTAGAGACCCACAGAGATACACAGAGACCCATAGAGATACACAGAGACCCATAGAGATACACAGAGACCCACAGAGATACACAGAGACCCACAGAGATCCATAGAGATCCATAGAGATACACAGAGAGCCATAGAGATACACAGAGACCCATAGATATACACAGAGACCCACAGAGATACACAGAGACCCACAGAGATACACAGAGACCCACAGAGATACATAGAGACCCACAGAGATACACAGAGATACACAGAGACCCACAGAGATACACAGAGACCCACAGAGATCCGTAGAGATCCATAGAGATACACAGAGAGCCATAGAGATACACAGAGACCCATAGATATACACAGAGACCCACAGAGATACAGAGACCCACAGAGATACACAGAGACCCACAGAGATACATAGAGATACACAGACCCACAGATACACAGAGACCCATAAAGATACAGAGACCCATAGAGATACATAGAGATACACAGACCCACAGAGATATACAGAGACCCATAGAGATACACAGAGACCCATAGAGATACACAGAGACCCATAGAGATATACAGAGGTGGGTGAGTGAGTGAGTGAGTGTGTGAGTGAGTGAGTGAGTGGGTGGGTGAGTGAGTGGGTGAGTGAGTGAGTGTGTGGGTGAGTGAGTGAGTGGGTGAGTGTGTGAGTGAGTGGGTGTGTGAGTGAGTGTGTTAGTGGGTGAGTGAGTGTGTGAGTGAGTGGATGAGTGAGTGGGTGTGTGGGTGAGTGAGTGTGTGAGTGTGTGTGGGTGAGTATGTGAGTGTGTGAGTGTGTCGGTGTGTGAGTGAGTGGGTGTGTTAGTGAGTGGGTGAGTGTGTGAGTGAGTGTGTGGGTGAGTGTGTGGGTGAGTGAGTGGGTGTGTTAGTGAGTGAGTGACGCACAGCAATCAACGCCTACACAGCCGTCTGTGTCCCCCCCCCCCACCACCCCCCCACCAAGAGTGGTGGCGTCATCGTCGATAAACGATGATCTTAAGAGGCGTCATGAGAGGGAGAGAGGAGGAGGTGGAGGTGGTGGAGGAGGTGTAGGAGGGAGTGGAGGATGGAGGAGGTGGTGGAGGAGGTGGAGGAGGAGGAGGGAGTGGAGGTGGAGGAGGTGGAGGAGGAGGTGTAGGAGGGAGTGGAGGATGGAGGAGGTGGTGGAGGAGGTGGAGGAGGATGGAGGAGGTGGTGGTGGAGGAGGGAGTGGAGGAGGAGGTGTAGGAGGTGGTGGAGGAGGTGTAGGAGGGGAGAGGGGGGAAGGAGGAGGAGAAGGAGGTGGAGGAGGGAGTGGAGGAGGAGGTCATGGTCATTAGATGATGCGAGCTGGGCGTGCCTCCCCGGGGCGATGGTTTCGAGGTTCCCCGCGGCCCTGGAGGGCGGTGACCTCACGCCGCCGCTCGCCCATAAAAAGGCGACGACTCTCAAGCAGCCGCATCACTCCGTCTGACACCTCCAGGAGACCTCCAGGAGACCTCCAGGACACCTTCAGAACCACTCCAGGAGACCTTCAGGAGACCTCCAGAACCACTCCAGGAGACCTTCAGGAGACCTCCAGAACCACTCCAGGAGACCTTCAGGAGACCTCCAGAACCACTCCAGGAGACCTCCAGGACACCGCCGCTCCCCGCTGCATCCTCTCTCCGACTCCACAATGGCTCAGAGCGTCGTGCCCCTGGTCATCGCCTTGCTGGCCGGCTCGCTGGCTCTCAGCAACGCGAACGTGAGTCCTGGACCCCATGGGAGTGAGCCTTAGTCTGGCTCTGTGAGTCTCGGTGATTGACACTGAACCCTATGGGAGTGAGCCTTAGTCTGGCTCTGTGAGTCTCGGTGATTGACACTGAACCCTATGGGAGTGAGCCTTAGTCTGGCTCTGTGAGTCTCGGTGATTGACACTGAACCCTATGGGAGTGAGCCTTAGTCTGGCTCTGTGAGTCTTGGTCATTGACACTGAACCCTATGGGAGGGAGCCTTAGTCTGGCTCTGTGAGTCTCGGTGATTGACACTGAACCCTATGGGAGTGAGCCTTAGTCTGGCTCTGTGAGTCTCGGTGATTGACACTGAACCCTATGGGAGGGAGCCTTAGTCTGGCTCTGTGAGTCTCGGTGATTGACACTGAACCCTATGGGAGTGAGCCTTAGTCTGGCTCTGTGAGTCTCGGTCATTGACACTGAACCCTATGGGAGGGAGCCTTAGTCTGGCTCTGTGAGTCTCGGTGATTGACACTGAACCCTATGGGAGTGAGCCTTAGTCTGGCTCTGTGAGTCTCGGTGATTGACACTGAACTCTATGGGAGTGAGCCTTAGTCTGGCTCTGTGGGTCTCGGTGATTGATAATGAACCCTATGGGAGTGAGCCTTAGTCTGGCTCTGTGAGTCTCAGTGATTGACACTGAACCCTATGGGAGTGAGCCTTAGTCTGGCTCTGTGGGTCTCGGTGATTGACACTGAACCCTATGGGAGGGAGCCTTAGTCTGGCTCTGTGAGTCTCGGTGATTGACACTGAACCCCATGGGAGTGAGCCTTAGTCTGGCTCTCTGAGTCCTGGGAGAATGACACTGAACCCTATGGGAGTGTTTTTTTTTTCAAAATGTAAATATGGTTTGGGGGGGGGGCAGAGGTTTGTGACGGGGGGGGGGGGGGGTCAAAAATCGTCCAAAATCGCGTGACATGATTTATGGACGGCTCCTTACACAGATGAAGGTTTTTATGTTAATAGGTTGTGTTGACATGTGACGATACCGATGATGTTTTGAGTTAATCTCCCATCGTGTGCTAATTCTTTGCTTTGTTTACATTTTACAGGGAAGCGGATATAACAACGGTAAGAGTTTTACTCCTGTGATACAGACTACTCACACAGTAGAGACCCACAGACTACTCACACAGAGACCCCGAGACTCATCACACAGCAGAGACCCACAGACTACTCACACACAGAGACCCACAGACTACTCACACAGTAAAGACCCATAGACTACTTACACAGAGACCCACAGACTCACCACACAAAGACCCATAGACTCATCACACAGAGACCCACAGACTCATCACACAGATACCCATAGACTCATCACACAGAGACCCACAGACTCATCACACAGAGACTCACATACTCATCACACAGAGACCCATAGACTCATCACACAAAGACCCACAGACTCATCACACAGAGACCCACAAACTCATCACAGAGACCCGCTAACATCTCTACCTTTGTCCCCTGCAACGTTTGACCCACCCAGTATTCTGCCAGGGCAAGGCTGATGGGATGTACGCAGACACCTCAGACTCCCACTACTTCTACCACTGCTCCAATTCCCTGACGTACCACAAGCAATGTCCAGCCACCCTGGTGTTCAACACGGCAAGAAACAGATGTGACTGGGATGGTACGTATCGCACATTCACCCCATCAACTCACTCACCCACTCACACATTCACTCATTCACCCACCCACTCATTCACCCACCCACTCATTCACCCACTCACACATTCACTCATTCACCCACTCACTCACCCACTCACACATTCACCCATCCATTCATTCACCTACCCACTCGCACACTAATTCCCCCACTCATTCATTCATGTACCCACTCACTCACCCACTCAGTCATTCACCCACTCCCTCACTCATTCATCCACTAACTCACTCATTCACCCACTCACTGTTTCACCCACTCACTCATTCACCCACTCACTCATTCACCCACTCACTCACCCACTCACTCATTCACCCACTCACTCATTCATCCACTCACTCACTCATTCACCCACTCACTCATTCACCCGCTCACCCATTCACCCACCCATTCACCCACTCATCCACTCACTCACTCATTCACCCACTCATCCATTCACCCATTCACCCAACCATTCACGCAAACACACACACACACTCAGTCACCTATTCACCTGGCCAATCGTTCGCTTACCCACCCACTCACTCATTCGCCAACTCACTCATTCACCCACCCATTCATTCACTCACTAATTCTCCCATTCACACAACTCGTTCACCCACCCATAGACTACTCACACAGAGACCCACAGACTACTCACACAGTAGAGACCCACAGACTACTCACACAGTAGAGACCCACAGACTACTCACACAGTAGAGACCCACAGACTACTCACACAGTAGAGACCCACAGACTACTCACACAGTAGAGACCCACAGACTACTCACACAGTAGAGACCCACAGACTACTCACACAGTAGAGACCCACAGACTACTCACACAGTAGAGACCCACAGACTACTCACACACTGAGTCTGTGTCTGTGTCGTGTGTGCAGTTGCAGGCAACGTCGCAGCAGTCACCACCCAGGGAGCCAACAAGCCACGTAAGCCCTCAACTCGTGACGTCTCGTGACGTCACGTGTCGTCTCGTGACGTCACCACCCCCCCCACACTCCCCTCCATCTCCATTGCACGCCTTGACGATGGTGTCGTGGCCTCTGTAGAAGACGGGAGGGTGATGGAGGTGATGGTGGTGATGGAGGTGATGGAGGTGATGGTGGTGATGATGGTGGTGATGGAGGTGATGGTGGTGATGATGGTGGTGATGGGGGTGGTGATGGTGGTGATGGAGGTGATGGTGGTGATGGTGGTGATGATAGTGGTGATGGTGGTGATGGTGGTGATGGGGGTGCTGATGGAGGGGATGGTGGTGATGGTGGTGATGGCAGGTGATGATGATCATCATCATGCGGGCTACATGGCCCAGCCAATGCAGCCTTGCCTGCCGGAGGAGCTCACCGATGAGACTTTGTCCAGGTCTTTAGAGGATTTGTGAGCTCCTCACACAATCCAGCCTGGTTAAACCCAGAATTGATCGTAGGCAGGCCAGCCGAAATGTTTCTTACCGGCGAAGATGCTCCATTAGGGGGGTCCACGTAAGGGACACCGAAAGCACGAAGAACAACCCAGAGCCCAGGCCTACTGATGGTATCATAGGCCTTGACCAGGTCAAAAAAGCAGAGATGTAGGTCTTGTTGGAATTCCCTACACATCTGCTGTAGCAAACGGACAGAAAATATGGCATCTGTGCAGGACCGCCCTTTCCTGAAACTGCATTGGGGCTCCGCAAGCCTCTTCTCAGTGTGCCTGGCAAGGCGATGTTGAATAATCTTTGCCAGAACCTTTTCCGGCACACTGAGGAGTGAGATGCCCCTGTAGTTGTTACAGTCTGTGCGGTTTCCCTTTTTAAAGAGGGGGACCACCAGGGCATCCTTCCAGTCCTGCAGAACCCATCCAGTGGTCCAGACTGTTGTTATGATGTCATGTAGGGCAGTCTGTGCACAAACGCCACCCTCCCTCAGCATTTCATTTGGGAGATCATCTCTGCCCGGTGCCTTTCTTGGTCTCAGACTCTGGATCGCCTTCAGAACTTCCTCAACAGATGGCACCTCAGCCAGCCACTCACAGGGGGTGACTTCTTCCAATATTTGAGGCACCGCAGCCTCGGCAGGGTCATCCCCACTTTGTCCCACGATGTTTTCCATGTGGAGGGATTTCTTCTCCCCCAGGACCTCACAGAAATGCTCAGCAAATCTGCAAACCTGTTCCTGGGGGTCGGAGATTGGATCACCGTTTTTTCCCCTAATGATGGTAATAGGTGTGGCGCTGCAGGTTACTTTTTTGATGGAGTTAAATAGTGATTTGTGATCGCGGGCCACTGAGGCAGACTCCATCTCCTCAGCAACCCGCAACCACCACCCATCCTTACAGCGCCTTACGGCTCTCCGAACTTCCGAGCGAAGGCTGCGGTAAACCTCCTCATTCTCTGACGTGGGATGCTGTAGGCGATGAGAGTGGGCCTGTCGCTTTTTCTCAATTAACCTGAACACCTCCTCTGTCAGCCAGGGTTTCTGGGGAGATCTGGACCGCGTACCCAAAGCAGCCATTGCAGCTGCCTGAGTCACAGTCCTAAACCTCACCCATTTACCGTCAAAATCTGGAGTGGGGGACGATGCCAACCCCAGCCGCAAGCGATGATGAAATTCTCGCTTGCAACTTTCATCAGCTCGCTGAGACCAGGCCACCTTAGGTTTGAATGGGGTCCTGGGTGTACACCCACCACCGGAGTGGAAGAAAGGCAGGCGCATCTTACAAATGACTAGTCGATGGTCAGAGGGTAGATCAGCTCCACGGTAGGTCCTGGTGTCAAGGACATGGGCCCGCATCCGCTGTTCCGTCACTATGTAGTCCAGCAGATGTTCTTGTTTGGACCCGGTATGCATCCATGATGTTGTGTGGATGCGCCGATGCCGGAAGAGCGTGTTGGTAATTACAAGCCCATGGGCTGCACAAAAATCTATCAGCCTCCTACCGTTATTATTGAGCTGATCTGGCCCATGCTTTCCAATCACTCCAGACCAGGTGCCAGCATCGTGACCAACTCGGGCATTGAAGTCACCCAACTAGATGACTCTATCCGTGGGGCCATTTTAGCCAGCACCTGTGACAGGAGATCATAGAAGGCATCTGACTCATCGGCCTTGCCTGCATCCCTCCACGGATGTTCGTCTTTGATGGGAAGGCGAGCCCAAAGTAGCCTGGGGCTTACAACTTCACACACCTAACCGCCACGCTCCCACACCCTTTTAATGTTTTGTTCAGAAGAAGAGCCACTCCCTGTTGTTTGGCAGTCTCCTGCCCCGAGTAGAGGACTGTCCACCCCTCATCGTGGCAGGAGCCAGAGCCGGTCCACCGGACCTCCTGAATACCACAGAGATTCAGGCGGTACTGGTCCAGCTCCCGACAGAAGAGTAGCAGCCTCTCCTCCGCAGTGAGCGTTCGAAAATTCCACGTGGCCATCCGTAGTGGCTTTTTATTGTTTCTGGAGGAGCCCCGAGGGTAAAGATTCAGTCTCCTGGCTCCGCCAAATGGGGTTTGGCCAGGAGACACCTGTCCACCCGGGGCCTCCGGCACAAGCTTGTTAATTACATTTTTCAGTCGGAGTTTAGCCCCCATTTAGCCGCTGTGGTGGTCACAGATGCCATGAGGGGAAAGGCCAATCGGAATTGGCCCTCCCCCCCTCAGCACTGTACACGACAACGTTGCCCATCCAGCACCACGAGGAGGTAGGGGGTTGTTTTACACAGACTCATCACTCAGAGACCCACAGACTCATCACACGGAGACCCATAGACTTATCACCAAGAGACCCATATACTCATCACACAGAGCCCCTCAGACTCATCACACAGAGACCCACAGACTCATCACACAGAGACCCACAGACTCATCACACAGAGAACCGCTAACAGCTCCACCTTTGTCTCCTGCAGTGCTGAACTCGGTATTCTGCCAGGGCAAGGCCGATGGGCTGTACGCAAACCCCTTAAACTCCCACACCTTCTACCAATGCTCCAATTCCCTGACGTACCTCAAGCAATGTCCATCCACCCTGGTGTTCAACCCGGCCATCAGCGTGTGCGACTGGCCTGGTACGTATGGCACATTCACCCCATCCAATCACTCACCCATTCGCTCATTCACCCACTCGTTCACCCACCCATAGACTCACACAGTAGAGACCCACAGACTACTCACACAGTAGAGACCCACAGACTACTCACACAGTAGAGACCCACAGACTACTCACACAGTAGAGACCCACAGACTACTCACACACAGTAGAGACCCACAGACTACTCACACAGCAGAGACCCACAGACTACTCACACAGTAGAGACCCACAGACTACTCACACAGTAGAGACCCACAGACTACTCACACAGAGACCCACAGACTACTCACACAGTAGAGACCCACAGACTACTCACACACAGAGACCCACAGACTACTCACACAGAGAGACCCACAGACTACTCACACAGTAGAGACCCACAGACTACTCACACAGAGACCCACAGACTACTCACACAGAGACCCACAGACTACTCACACAGTAGAGACCCACAGACTACTCACACAGTAGAGACCCACAGACTACTCACACAGCAGAGACCCACAGACTACTCACACAGTAGAGACCCACAGACTACTCACACAGTAGAGACCCACAGACTACTCACACAGAGACCCACAGACTACTCACACAGTAGAGACGCCACAGACTACTCACACAGAGACCCACAGACTACACACAGTAGAGACCCACAGACTACTCACACACAGAGACCCACAGACTACTCACACAGAGACCCACAGACTACTCACACAGTAGAGACCCACAGACTACTCACACAGAGAGGACCCACAGACTACTCACACATGCTAGAGGACCACAGACTACTCACACAGTAGAGACCCACGAGACCTACTCACACAGTAGAGACCCACAGGACCCTACTCACACAGCTAGAGACCCACAGACTACTCCACAACAGAGGACCCACAGACTACTCACACAGGGAGGACCCACAGGACTACACACACAGTAGACCCACAGGACTACTCCACACAGTAGAGACCCACAGACTCACTCACCACAGAGACCCACGACTACTCCACACAGCAGAGACCCACAGACTACTCACACAGCAGAGCCCCACAGACTACTCACACACAGTAGAGCCACACAGACTACTCACACAGCTAGAGACCCACAGACTACTCACCAACAGTAGACCCACAGACTACTCACACAGTAGAGACCCACAGACTACTCACACAGTAGAGACCCACACAGACTACTCACACACAGAGACCCATAGACTACTCACACAGCAGAGACCCCACAGACTACTCACACCGTAGAGACCCACAGGACTACTCCACACAGTAGAGACCCACAGACTACTCACACACAGAGACCCACAGACTACTCACACAGTAGAGACCCACAGACTACTCACACACAGAGACCCACAGACTACTCACACAGAGACCCACAGATACTCCACACAGAGACCCACAGACTACTCACACAGTAGAGACCCACAGACTACTCACACAGTAGAGACCCACAGACTACTCACACAGTAGAGACCCACAGACTACACACACAGAGACCCACAGACTACTCACACAGTAGAGACCCACAGACTACTCACACAGTAGAGACCCACAGACTACTCACACAGTAGAGACCCACAGACTACTCACACACAGAGACCCACAGACTACTCACACAGTAGAGACCCACAGACTACTCACACAGTAGAGACCCACAGACTACACACACAGAGACCCAAGACTACTCACACAGTAGAGACCCACAGACTACTCACACACAGTAGAGACCCACAGACTACTCACACAGTAGAGACCCACAGACTACTCACACAGTAGAGACCCACAGACTACTCAACACAGAGACCCACAGACTACTCACACAGTAGAGACCCACAGACTACTCACACAGTAGAGACCCACAGACTACTCACACACAGAGACCCACAGACTACTCACACAAGAGACCCACCAGACTACTCACACACAGGACCCACAGACTACTCACACACAGAGGACCCCACAGACTACTAACACACAGAGGACCCACAGACTACTCACACAGTAGGACCCACAGACTACTCACACAGTAGAGACCACCGACTACTCACACACAGAGACCCCAGACACTCACAGCGTAGAGACCCCACAGACTACTCACACAGTAGACCCACAGACTACTCACACAGTAGAGACCCACAGACTACTCCACACCAGTAGAGACCCACAGGACTACTCACACACAGAGACCCACAGACTACTCACACAGCAGAGACCCAAGACTACTCACACACAGAGACCCACAGACTACTCACACACAGTAGGACCCACAGACTACTCACACAGTAGAGACCCACAGACTACTCACACAGTAGAGACCCACAGACTACTCACACAGTAGAGACCCACAGACTACTCACACAGTAGAGACCCACAGACTACTCACACACAGAGACCCACAGACTACTCACACAGTAGAGACCCACAGACTACTCACACAGTAGAGACCCACAGACTACTCACACAGTAGAGACCCACAGACTACTCACACAGTAGAGACCCACAGACTACTCACACAGAGACCCACAGACTACTCACACAGTAGAGACCCACAGACTACTCACACAGTAGAGACCCACAGACTACTCACACAGAGACCCACAGACTACTCACACAGTAGAGACCCACAGACTACTCACACAGTAGAGACCCACAGACTACTCACACAGAGACCCACAGACTACTCACACAGTAGAGACCCACAGACTACTCACACAGTAGAGACCCACAGACTACTCACACAGTAGAGACCCACAGACTACTCACACAGAGACCCACAGACTACTCACACAGAGACCCACAGACTACTCACACAGCAGAGACCCACAGACTACACACACAGAGACCCACAGACTACTCACACAGCAGAGACCCACAGACTACTCACACAGTAGAGACCCACAGACTACTCACAACAGTAGAGACCCACAGACTACTCACACAGTAGAGACCCACAGACTACTCACACAGTAGAGACCCACAGACTACTCCACACAGTAGACCCACAGACTACTCACACAGTAGAGACCCACAGACTACTCACACAGTAGAGACCCACAGGACTACTCACACACAGAGACCCACAGACTACTCACACAGTAGAGACCCACAGACTACTCACACAGCAGAGACCCACAGATACTCACACAGTAGAGACCCACAGACTCTCACACACAGAGACCCACAGACTACCTCACACAGTAGAGACCCACAGACTACTCACACAGTAGAGACCCCACAGACTACTCACACACAGAGACCACAGACTACTCACACAGTAGTAGGACCCACAGACTACTCACACACAGAGACCCACAGACTACTCACACAGTAGAACCCACAGACTACTCACACAGTAGAGACCAAGACTACTCACACAGTAGAGACCCACAGGACTACTCACACACAGAGACCCACAGACTACTCACACAGTAGAGACCCACAGACTACTCACACAGTAGAAACCCACCAGACTACTCACACAGTAGACCCACAGACTACTCACACAGTTAGAGACCCACAGACTACCACACAGTAGAACCCACAGACTACTCACACAGTAAGACCCACAGACTACTCACACAGCAGAGACCCACAGACTACTCACACAGTAGAGACCCACAGACTACTCACACAGAGACCCACAGACTACTCACACAGAGACCCACGACTACTCACACAGTAGAAGACCACAGACTACTCACACACCGAGACCCACAGACTACTCACATCAGTCTACAGAGACCCACAGACTACTACACATGGATACTCACACACAGACCCACAGACTACTCACCAGCAGAGACCCACAGACTACTCACACAGTAGAGACCCACAGACTACTCACACAGAGACCCACAGACTACTCACACAGTAGAGACCCACAGACTACTCACACAGTAGAGACCCACAGACTACTCACACAGAGACCACAGACTACTCACACAGAACCCACAGACTACTCACACAGTAGAGACCCACAGACTACTCACACAGTAGAGACCCACAGACTACTCACACAGAGACCCACAGACTACTCACACAGAGACCACAAGACTACTCACACAGTAGAGACCCACAGACTACTCACACACAGAGACCCACAGACTACTCACACAAGAGACCCACAGACTACTCACACAGCAGAGACCCACAGACTACTCACACAGAGACCCACAGACTACTCACACAGCAGACCACAGACTACTCACACAGTAGAGACCCACAGACTACTCACACAGTAGAGACCCACAGACTACTCACACAGTAGAGACCCACAGACTACTCACACAGTAGAGACCCACAGACTACTCACACAGTAGAGACCCACAGACTACTCACACAGTAGAGACCCACAGACTACTCACACAGAGACCCACAGACTACTCACACAGAGACCCACAGACTACTCACACACAGAGACCCACAGACTACTCACACAGTAGAGACCCACAGACTACTCACACAGAGACCCACAGACTACTCACACAGTAGAGACCCACAGACTACTCACACAGAGACCCACAGACTACTCACACAGTAGAGACCCACAGACTACTCACACAGTAGAGACCCACAGACTACTCACCACAGAACCCACAGACTACTCACACAGTAGAGACCCACAGACTACTCACAGCAGAGACCCACAGACTACTCACACAGTAGAGACCCACAGACTACTCACACAGTAGAGACCCACAGACTACTCACACAGAGACCCACAGACTACTCACACAGTAGAGACCCACAGACTACTCACACACAGAGACCCACAGACTACTTCACACACAGAGACCAACAGACTATCCACACACAGAGACCCACAGACTACTCACACAGTAGAGACCCACAGACTACTCACACAGTAGAGACCCACAGACTACTCACACAGTAGAAACCCCAGACTACTCACACAGCAGAGACCCACAGAATACTCACACACAGAGACCCACAGGACTACTCACAC